CCTCTCCCTTCCTAATTGAGATTAAGGGATGAAAAAAGGGCAGTTCGACGGAGAATTAGATTCTCCATTAATTAACCCTTTTTTCATCCCTCAATTTCAATTAGGAGAAGAGAGGTGAATTTTTAATTACCGGGAGTCACTGTGCGCCGCAAAACAATTATTTTTCTTACTGCGCTGTTATTTCCATGACAGTTTCTTCCATTTTTCACAGAGATTAAGGGATGAAAGAGGGTCAGTTGGTGGGGAATTTAATTCTCCATCGAACTACTCTTTTTTCATCCCTTAATCTCAATTAGGAGGGGAGAAGTGAATTTTTAATTCGCGGGCGAATGGTGAATAGTCAGTGTGCGCCGCGAAAAAATTATTTTTCTTACTGGCCCCTGACTTTCATGGCAGTTTTTAATTTTTTGTTACAAAGATTAAGGGATGAAAGAGGGTTAATTAATGAAAAATTTAATTCTCCGTCGAACTGCTCTTTTTTCATCCCTTAATCTCAATTAGGAAGGGAGAGGTGAATTTTTAATTACCGGGAGTCACTGTGCGCCGCAAAACAATTATTTTTCTTACTGGCCCCTGACTTTCATGGCAGTTTTTAATTTTTTGTTACAAAGATTAAGGGATGAAAGAGGGTTAATTAATGAAAAATTTAATTCTCCGTCGAACTGCTCTTTTTTCATCCCTTAATCTCAATTAGGAAGGGAGAGGTGAATTTTTAATTACCGGGAGTCACTGTGCGCCGCAAAACAATTATTTTTCTTACTGGCCCCTGACTTTCATGGCAGTTTTTAATTTTTTGTTACAAAGATTAAGGGATGAAAGAGGGTTAATTAATGAAAAATTTAATTCTCCGTCGAACTGCTCTTTTTTCATCCCTTAATCTCAATTAGGAAGGGAGAGGTGAATTTTTAATTACCGGGAGTCACTGTGCGCCGCAAAACAATTATTTTTCTTACTGGCCCCTGACTTTCATGGCAGTTTTTAATTTTTTGTTACAAAGATTAAGGGATGAAAGAGGGTTAATTAATGAAAAATTTAATTCTCCGTCGAACTGCTCTTTTTTCATCCCTTAATCTCAATTAGGAAGGGAGAGGTGAATTTTTAATTACCGGGAGTCACTGTGCGCCGCAAAACAATTATTTTTCTTACTGGCCCCTGACTTTCATGGCAGTTTTTAATTTTTTGTTACAAAGATTAAGGGATGAAAGAGGGTTAATTAATGAAAAATTTAATTCTCCGTCGAACTGCTCTTTTTTCATCCCTTAATCTCAATTAGGAAGGGAGAGGTGAATTTTTAATTACCGGGAGTCACTGTGCGCCGCAAAACAATTATTTTTCTTACTGGCCCCTGACTTTCATGGCAGTTTTTAATTTTTTGTTACAAAGATTAAGGGATGAAAGAGGGTTAATTAATGAAAAATTTAATTCTCCGTCGAACTGCTCTTTTTTCATCCCTTAATCTCAATTAGGAAGGGAGAGGTGAATTTTTAATTACCGGGAGTCACTGTGCGCCGCAAAACAATTATTTTTCTTACTGGCCCCTGACTTTCATGGCAGTTTTTAATTTTTTGTTACAAAGATTAAGGGATGAAAGAGGGTTAATTAATGAAAAATTTAATTCTCCGTCGAACTGCTCTTTTTTCATCCCTTAATCTCAATTAGGAAGGGAGAGGTGAATTTTTAATTACCGGGAGTCACTGTGCGCCGCAAAACAATTATTTTTCTTACTGGCCCCTGACTTTCATGGCAGTTTTTAATTTTTTGTTACAAAGATTAAGGGATGAAAGAGGGTTAATTAATGAAAAATTTAATTCTCCGTCGAACTGCTCTTTTTTCATCCCTTAATCTCAATTAGGAAGGGAGAGGTGAATTTTTAATTACCGGGAGTCACTGTGCGCCGCAAAACAATTATTTTTCTTACTGGCCCCTGACTTTCATGGCAGTTTTTAATTTTTTGTTACAAAGATTAAGGGATGAAAGAGGGTTAATTAATGAAAAATTTAATTCTCCGTCGAACTGCTCTTTTTTCATGCCTTAATCTCAATTAGGAGGGGAGAAGTGAATTTTTAATTACCGGGAGTCACTGTGCGCCGCAAAACAATTATTTTTCTTACTGCGCTGTTATTTCCATGACAGTTTCTTCCATTTTTCACAGAGATTAAGGGATGAAAGAGGGTCAGTTGGTGGGGAATTTAATTCTCCGTCGAACTACTCTTTTTTCATCCCTTAATCTCAATTAGGAGGGGAGAAGTGAATTTTTAATTCGCGAGCGAATGGTGAAAAGTCACTGTGCGCCGAGAACAAAATTATTTTTCTCACTGGCCCATGACTTTGTCGTAGTTTGTATTTTTCTGTTACAGAGATTAAGGGATGCAACGGGGATCGATTGATGGGGAATTTAATTCTCCATCACACCCTCTGTGTTTCATTCCTTAATATTAATTAGCCAGCAAATATATCACCTGAAAAACATTAAGAACATGCTGAGGACGAGGAGGACACAAATTCCACTTCAAAACTATCCCTGTGACAGCGGGACTGCTACTGACGAGTTACCCGCACAGGCAGTTCGCTCAGCCGTCAGATTCGACCGTGGCGGCATCCCTCCGTTGGGGTCGAACTACTTTTGGCTTGGGGTCAGTCTAACCCCGAGATCTGAGCCTCTACTTTAGTCAATCCTCTTTGGTTAACGCGTGGTTAAGTTAAGTTGGGCCCCCCTACCGCCGCTCCATTCCATCTGTGTTGAAAATGGTGGCGCCTGTGTTTACGTGTGTAATCGATTTAAATGTGAATATGGCATATGTGGTTTTAATTAAATTTTTGTAATGAACAACGTTATCGGTGATTTAATTGGTGGTGCTGGACGTTATCACCCTATTCGACGTAACGCAGAACCAGTTAACCACTTTGAAATTCTCCCAGAAATACAATTCAGGGAACGATACCGTTTGTCAAAAAAAGCATTCCTACACGTGCTCCGGAGAATAGAGTATGGTCTGAGAAGACCTCTTCGAAGGTAATTATTATTTTCTATAATCGCTTTGCACTGGAGGTCGAAGAATTACTTTGAGGTATTATCTATGCCCTGGAGTGAGGTTGAACCAACAAACTGTGTGCAGTAAATGAGCACTGTTTTTTTTTTAGAAATCACAGGATCACTTCGAGTATTCAGTTATTAGTGGCTCTACGTTTTTTTGCTACTGGTTCATATTTGATTACTGTGGGAGACACAATGAACATAAGTAAATCAGCAACCCTGGTGATCCAGGAGCCACGGTACTTGCGTGGCTAATTCTGGGGCTAAAAAGGGGGAAATGATATCTGAAAACACAATAAACGTGGATAGACGAATGATTAGTTTATATTTGCACTGTTTATAACATCGTTTTCTATCAATTGATTGAAATTAATGTGAGTGTATATAATGATAATACAAGACCCGTAGGGGGAATGCCGGGAGATGGCGGCAGTGTCGATATCCCAACGGTGGTGGTCAAGTCGACAGCAGTCGCAGCCAGAATAAGTGAGACCCCAACAGAGGTGGGGAGCCACGGTCGATTCTAACGGCTGGGCGAGCTGCTTGTGCCGGTAACTCGGCAGTAGGGCCAGAAGAAGAATATCCATGGATTTTTGGAGTGGGGGACAAGCATATGAGTGGGAATTACGTGGGAATTAAATTCCCCATCCATCAATCCCCGTTTGATCCCTTAATCTCTGTAATAGAAAATGAAAAGCGCGACGCAATTTACGGCGCTATGAAAAACTTAATGGATAACTCGCCCGCCAATTAAAAAATCGTCTCTCCCCTCCTAATTAATATTAAGGAATGGAACGAATACTGTTCGATGGAGAATTAAATTCCCCATCCATCAATCCCCGTTTGATCCCTTAATCTCTGTAATAGAAAATGAAAAGCGCGACGCAATTTACGGCGCTATGAAAAACTTAATGGATAACTCGCCCGCCAATTAAAAAATCGTCTCTCCCCTCCTAATTAATATTAAGGAATGGAACGAATACTGTTCGATGGAGAATTAAATTCCCCATCCATCAATCCCCGTTTGATCCCTTAATCTCTGTAATAGAAAATGAAAAGCGCGACGCAATTTACGGCGCTATGAAAAACTTAATGGATAACTCGCCCGCCAATTAAAAAATCGTCTCTCCCCTCCTAATTAATATTAAGGAATGGAACGAATACTGTTCGATGGAGAATTAAATTCCCCATACAGCAACCCC